AAGAGTTACCTTATCTCTCCGATTTCGATGAAATTAGGCTCATTCGACACGTTTTTGTGTAAAATAAAATTAATTTAAGTTATCATTGTCTATTGTATGAACTATAATAGGATAGTCATGTCTTTTTGTTTTTTCATGTTTTTTCAAAGGTTTATTCTCAGAGTTTTTAGTATCACTAGTAAAATCTACGAATCTTCTACATTCTTTTTGTTCATTTGCGAAATTTACTGCTGGCTTTTCTATCACCTCTGTTGAATTTCCTTGCTCTGTAAGTTTAGACTCGAGAATACTCTTTGGCATGAGCTCATGAGGTGTAAGTGAATCACTACAGGTCTTTTCAAAATTTGCGTTATCAGGAAATGTGCAATTCTTTATAGATTCAAGAAGTATTTTATTATCACATTTATCTTGTATTTCCAGTTGGTCTTTTATGACCTTGTTTTGAGCCTAGAATGTATAAAAGAGATTTTATATAAAAAAATCTTAAACAGCAAGATACAATTTCATTTTTTGTAGAAACTTACTTCCAAAAATTTTGCTTTAGATTGCCAGTAACGAAGCTGTCTTGAGATATTGTTGTTTACTTCGTCTTGCACCAGCATCTGCATAGTTTGCTTCTCAATATTTTCATTCAACTCCTTGAGCTCTTTCTTTTTAGCGGCTAACAATGATTGAGCGTAACTGAAAATTAAATTTGTCTTTCTATTATATAAACCATATATTAATTCAGATTAGCTGAAACAGAACCGTGTTCTTAACTTACTTAAAGTCATCGTTTACAGATTGTGTTTCTTCCATTTCATCATTTTTTCTCATTTCAGCCTTCAATTTATTCTCAAGATCAAAGATTCTACTCTTATACTTGACCAAAAGATCTGCATTCTCTTGCAATGTATCAATTATATCAGTTTCCCATTTCCTGGAAATGGCGATTTTCTCTGCTCTCAGCAGCTTAATTTCACATGTTTTCGAATCCAGTGCTTGCTTTGCTTCATTATATTTATTGGAAAGCGTTTTCATTTTATCCAACAACATTTGCCGACGATCTTCAACTTCGGCAAATAAAGAATTTCCTAAAACAGTATGAATGTTAAAAAATCTATATACAATTGAATATATACAAGTTACCTTTGCATGTATCACTAGCAGGAGTTATATTTGATGACTCCAATTCTTCAAGTTTCGCGGCTAATTCTCTAGCAGATTCCCGTGCGTTTTCCAATTCTTCATTTTTTTCCGCTAGATCCTTTGTTATTTTCTATTAAAATGTTTCCAATTAGCCTGATATATTACAATCGATAAATGTAAATCATAACTTATTATTTTACTTGTAAATTAAGTCGAAGCTCTTCACATTGAACCTCTCCATGTGCAAGTTTATCCATCAATGTCTTTTCATTTTTTTCTTTTTGAAGAAACCTCTCTTTTTCCTTTTGGAACAGCATATGTATTTCTCTAAGTTCCTCTTTATACACTGTTAAAGTATCTGCCATTGTATTAGATGGTTGATTATTTGCAAGATCTTTATACAATTTCTTTAACTCTTTCTGTAATTCTTTAATTATTAATTCATTTTTTACTTGGTTTGTTTCTAGATTTGCAATACAATTTTCATATTCTTTTTGCTCAGCTTTATACCTATAAATGAATAAGATATATGAAGCATCTCTTTATAAATGTACAATATATAATAAACAACAAGTTTCATTATTAGGGCTAACATAACTGACACATAAAATAATCTTGATTGAAAACTAAAAAATAAATATGTATCAAACGTTTAAACGTTTAAAATCTGAGAGGTATGTATAAAATATGTTTATAAATGTCTTCAAGTAGTAACACCATTTACTTATTGAATAAACAGTAGCTGATACGAGTCATTAAGATTCTAGCATATCATATGTGATTGGACAGACAGTTGATCAATCATATTACAATATCAAGCAGAAAAATATAAATTTTGATGAATTGTTATAAAATAACAATTTTCATGTATTCATATTGTTTTTTTTTTTGTTGCAAAAGATAACTCTGTCAGTACTGTCAGACTTAAGATATTTGTATTTCTCAGATACACTGCGATCTCCAGTGTTTAAATTAAGGATTACAACTTGCCAAGAGTTAATACATCAAAATGCAATGAACAAAGACTTGACGTAAATGTTTTATCTGTTGAAAGTAAAAGCTCCAGAAGCAACTGCTTTGTCTGTATAATTTTTATGAAGAAAAAATGTATGATCCTTACTTTTCTTGTTTCTCGGAAGATGATATGGTTGTTTGCCGTACGTATTCTTTGAAATTATTTTCCAAAGTCTCTCCAGAATCCTGAAGATCTCTTACAATCGCGTCGGAAGTTTCCAATTTGAGTCGTAAAACATGCAACTCCTGTCGATAATACTCATTCTCTTGCTTCATCTTTTTATAATCATCCTGACTAATCACGCTCTCTTCTAAATATTCCTCGATCTTCGTGCTATTCACACTTTCACCATACAATTCCGACATCTCGAATCTTTTTCCAAATTTCTTTTTATTCTTTAATGGTACTTGGTTTCTTCTGAAGCAGAGTATAACGTGATACAACAATGTGACTATTTAAATTTTGGTAAGGTTAGTTCAAATATTTTGAATTTCGGTTAGGTCCGTTAGATCATAGATATGTAAAGAGATAGATTCGACATTGCATGTTACGCAAACGATGAGAAGAGAGAAAGATGATTGGTAGGAAGGAGAAAAAAGTTCAGTTGGAAAAGAAAGGTGAACAAATAATTGGTTGCGCCATTTTGGCTGAAATACGCGATTGGTTGTTACTTCGATAATATGCTGTTATTGGGCAATATTAAAATAGTGTGTTGCTGGCTTTATTCTGCAAAGGTTCCACGACCGACGAGATATTAAAGATGGTTGGTCCTGGGCAAATTTTCGTGAACATCAATAGGGCCTCGAGGATCCGGGGATAATAGAAGAACAATGACATTATCGATAATTGATATAAGTTTGCGATTATATATATATTAAAATATTATTTATATTTTTTATATGTAAATATTTAGATAATATATTATTAAATTTATGATTTTTT